TAAACTTGAATATTAATAGCAAGTTTATTAATAAAAGCCAAAAACTGGGGGAAAAAACCCAAATGTCCATGAACTGGTGAATGGATTAAACAAATTGTGGCAAATTCATACAATGGAATACTATTCTGTAATAAACAAAACTGATATATACAGTAACACAAATGAATTTTTAAAGCATTATGCTAAGTGAAGGAAGCTAGATGTGAAAGACTACATACTGCATGATTTCATGTAAATGAAGTTCTAGAAAAGTCAAAGGAGCAGCAGAAAAAGCCTTGGGCTAACAGAAATGTTCTGCACATGATTGTACACTATACATTTGTCAAACTCATCAAATTGTACACCTAAAACTGTTGCATTTCATTATATATAAATTATACCTTAATAAAGCTGATTTATAAAGCAAAACCAAAAAGTAGAAATAGGAGGATTTAAATTTTTTAGGAAAACATTAAGAACAGCTTTATTCTTATAAACTTGAAAAATCTAGATAAAATGAGCAATTTCCTCACAAAATATAAATGAACAAAACTGGCCCAAGAAATAGAAAATCTGAATAGACCAATAACCATAAACTAAACTGTAGTAACATTATCTCTACCTAAGATCTATCTCCCCTCCTTGATGACAGAACCTGTTTTTTATTTAGGAATGTGGTGGCCCTGTGACTCAAAGGTGGGTGGTTTCCTTGGCAGCCCCAAGGAAGTACAAATCCAACAAGGTAGCTGCTAGTTGCATGTGGCTATTTAACTTTAAATACAGTCATACATTGCATAACATTTTGGTCAACAACAAACCACAAATATGATGGTGGTCCCACAACATTATAAAAGAGCAGAAAAATTTCTATGTACTAGTAATGTTGTAGTCATCATAATGTCATAGCACAATTACTCGATTTTTTTTATAAATTTAGTGTAGCCTAAGTATACAGTGTTTATGAAGTCTGCAGTAGTGTACAGTAATGTCCTAGGGCTTCACATTCACTCACCACTCACTCACCCAGAGCAACTTCCAGGCCTGCTAGTTTCATTCATGTTAAGTGCCATATACAGGTGTACCATTTTTTATCTTTTATACCATATTTTTACTGTACCTTTTTTATGTGTAGATATGTATAAATACACAAATATTTATCACTGTGTTACAACTGCTTACAGTATTCAGTACAGTGGCATGCTGTACAGGTTTGGAGCCTAGTAGCAATAGGTTATATGGCCTAGGTGACAGTAGGCTGTACCATCTAGTTTTATGTAACTACACTCTATGATGTTCACACAGCAACAAAATTGCCTAATGATGCATTTCTCAGAATGTATCCCCATCATTAGGTGATGCATGACCGTAAATAAAATTAACTATTATTGTAAACTCAGCTCCTCAGTCTCACTAGCCCTACTTCAAGTACTCAACAGCCATATGTGACTAGTGGCTACTGTATTAGACAGTGCAAATGTAGAACATTCACATAACTGCAAAAAGTCTATCAATCAAACAGTGCTGGTCAATCATGAGAATTCCATTTCCTTAGCTAGTGCTTGGTTTGTAAATGTACAGTTGATGGATTAAAATAAATCTCTGACTATGGTTAACAACTTTTTAAGCATTTTACACTTTCTCTTATCTTGGAACAATAATATAGAAAGCCCTTAATTTCCTGAGTGTTTATCTTTGTCTAGTTCTCAGGGTACAGGCTGGAGTACTGGAATTGGGCCACTCTGCTGGAACATTAAGAAGATAGGATATACCAGCTTATCAGGTAACTACTGCCACAAACATGCTGTATAACACAGCGTAATGCCTTGAGACAGCATCATTTATTCTCACAGATCTGCAGGGTAGCTGAGGGCAGCTGATCCAGGCTAGGTTTCTGGAAGAGTAGTTTGGCTCTGCTTAATGTAGTTCTTATCCTTCTCCTGAACCAGCAAAGTAACCCAGGAATTTTCTCACGGCAATGATTGAGATGTAAGAGCACTAATCCAATCACACAAGTACTTTTCCAAGTGCTTGGTATATCAAACCACTAAGATTCAAGTCACATTCAGGGACCCAAAGTCAAGAGGTGGGGAAATATACCACACTTCTTCACTGGGTGGAACTGTAGAACGACACATGGCAAAGAACATGAATATGGGGGGTGAGGGTGGGAAGGGGATTGGGCTGGTTATACAATGTATCACACCACCCAAAATATTAGTAACATGGTAAATATGGAATCAGTAATTCTGAAAGCCCCAAAAGCAATTGGCTATAGTCTCACATCTGCAAGCAATATAGCTTAAAGGTGAGAATGTGAGCTTTGAAATCTTAAGATTCTAATTCTAGCTTTGGCATTTACTCATTGTATGCCACTGGAATAGTTATCTAACCTTTCCATGTCAGTTTTCTTATCTCTAAAATGTGGATAATGTGGTTAGAAATAATTTAAGTATAATAGCACAGCACCAGAAATTTAGCATCAACTCGATAAGTGGTAGTTGTTATTATCATGCTGAGAATACCCTAAACTACATTTTACAATAACCAAACATTAATGGGGCAGAATGGGGGAATTATAGATCAGTGCTTCTCAAATTTGACTGCACATTAGAATTACCTGGGGAACTTTAAAAAATTCCAATCCCCAGCCAATTAAATCAGAATGCCTAGGCGTAGGGCCCAGGTACTACGCCTATTATAGACTCACTAAAAAATTCTAGTGTGCAGTCCAGTTTGAGAAACATTGTTGTGGATAAGCAGCAGCCTACTAAAGTTCATTTCTTGCCTTTCCAAGTATAGAGTAGTTGGAAAATGGTGGTCTAGCTTAGTCTGGAACCATGACCAGTCCTAGCCAATGCAATGTGAGAAGTAAAATGTGCCATATTTTTTACAACAATCTTGTAACAGAGATATTATTGAACCTGAACACATTCCTTCAACTATTCTGTTCTCTGGTAAAACCTACCCAGTATCTTTTAAATTATATAAACTATCATAATTTGCATTCCTTCAGATGTTTGTTTTCAACTTGATTCTTCTAACATTACAGCCTTCAAGTCTTTATCAATGATAATGATAAGCTGGAGAAAAGTTAATACCAGAATTTCTAACGAGGCTCTCCCTTTGTCCAGTTCTCAACTGAGCAAACATTCATGATCAAAAAAAAAAAAAATGTTGGTTTTGTTTGATTCTGTATTCTCTACTTAGGGATAACTTTTCAACCCAAAGAAGATATTATTTGGTCAAAGATGTTTATAACCAAAATGCTACTTGGCAGCTAGTAAGTCAAGTACTGGTGAAATTCTTTATCTACTTGGTTTTCCTCATACCTCATTGATACCATTGACGGTTCTAATTCTTCCTCCTAATCCTTAAATAGCAATGTTTGGGTAAAATATGATGATGTGAAGTTTTCTATAGGGACCACACTTTTACTGTCCTGCATTTAAATGTAAAAAGCTTTTCACTTCAATTGCCCTTTCAAATTTTTCTGCCTGTCACTGACCCAATCTTCCCAAAAGGCCTTCCATGACCAGGGAATCTGAGTTAAGGGACTCACTCTCCTACTCCATTCCAACTGCTATAGTGTTCACTTTGAACTACTTGAAAGCTGGGCAGGAACAGCATCCTATTCAGTGTTGTACTCCCAATGACAGGTCAGTGCCAGGATGTAAATGATATACAAAATAAGGTGAAACAAAGATCTCTAACTCCCTAGATACCTTTCCTTGTTTTAAGGATCTAACAATAATTTACTCACATTTCTTTTTGGAGAAGTCTCTCTTACACACTCTAGAAGACTACAGGTAATTTGAAACTATTCTTTAGTACTTCTGGCCCAGAATGAGGCAGTCAAAACTGACTGAACTGTATCTTTAACAGAAAACGAAGATGGATTGCTAGAAAAATAAATATAAAATGTTAAGTTACTAGAAAATACAGCAAATGAATAATAACAAGTCTCAATTTTTTTCCCTCCAAATTATTATCTCTACGTTAAAAGATAATACAAATCCTGAATTACAAATCCATGAGAAACCGGAGTTAAGGCTATCAAGGACAACAAGGAATATACATCTGCCATAATGCTGTCCAAGACATTGCCTTATGCAAGTAAAATTTAGTCATTACTGAGTACTGGAATGCTCTTAATGGCCTAGCATTACCACAGTCTTTTCCTTTTCTGTAGTGATAATTCCAGCAAGGTGAGAGTATTTTCATCTACTGACCCCTAAAATATGTTAGTTACAAATGCCCTCATAAGCAGCTTTTTCACCAGCAGATTCTGTTTCCCCTTACTTTTTCTAATCTAAATTCTTAATGAAAGATTTGTTTTAATCCTATATATAAATCTAGTTCTTTTAGGCCAGGCAAAAGAGGATATACAAAAGCATCTTTCAACAGTAAACTGTTTTATTCTCGACTGCCAGCTATTGGTTAACCGGTCCTTCAAAGTTCTAGGAAGTGTAGATTATCCGGAATAGACAGAATTATTCCAATACTGCTCACTAGTGCTCGCTACCAGCACGCATAAACCAAATGGATCATTTCTATAATAGAAAGTTTCATTATTCCTGTTACTGCCCACTGGAATAATTAAAAACAGCAGTAATGACTTTAAAATTATTTTATTTTGTTCACTTACAGCCTCACTTTAAGTACAAGTAGGAAAACATAAAACCTAGGATCTCTACCTCGTGCTAATGTCAAGCGACCTGGAAAAGGGGTAGAAGCTTAATGCCCATTATTTAATAATACCGTATTATACCGTGATCACCAAACACCACCACATCTTCCTTCATAAACGTAGCAACTACAAGTCAAAACGTACAATGACGCTAGGATGGTTCTGAATGCGAATGTAATGAATCTGACTCCAAAGGTAACTGAGAACTTTCAGGCAGATTAACTTAGAAGCCTCTGCCTCCTCTTTTACCACACACAATCCTGCGCACAAAGAACTGGGAGGTCGCCCAGCTCGAGCCTCCAGGGGCACATCTGAGGCAAATGATGATACTCACTCAGTTATCCTCCCAAAGACCCAAAAGCGGTTCCGGGAGTCCGTGTCGTCAGCCCCGGATCGCTCCTAATAGGCCGGCAAACAAGCTACCGCGAGGCTGAGGAGCGCGACGACGGACCCTCGGATACTTGAGTGTGGACGCTCGAAAAATACATCGCAGGCCCCAATCCCCGGGGGAAAAGCACGGCCTCCTTTCCCACGGCCCCCACTTTCTCCCCGGAGAGCCGTGGCGGTCCAGAGGCCCGCACGTCTGGGACGGGAAAGGAGTGGGGGACATTCGCGCTGAGGCTCCCTCTCAGCCCCTGAGCTTCCCGTGCCCGGGGACAACCGGAGTCCTCTCTCGGCGGCCCCGGAGGCCAGAGACGTCTTTCCTCCCCGACCTCTGACCCCTGACCCTCCATCCCCCAAACGCCTACCTAGACTGGTTCTCACCGCCTCCTGAGTCTTCTGCACCAGGCCTGGGTCCCTCTAATGCCCCGGCAGATCCCGGGCACGCATTTGCCACCCACCGAACACCCGCCTGAGGTGGGCACGCGCACTTTATGCTGGGTCGTGTTAGGGTTCCCTTGGGGCCCACAAACCACAGCGCTTAGATGCAGAGCGCGCGCTGGAGCGTGGGGTCAGGTGAACGCGCACGTCGGAGCGCCTCGCCCCCTTTCTCCGGCACTGGCTTCATGCGTCTCTTCTGCGCAAGTCCACACAGCGGAGGGCCATCTAGGGCTACAGTTGGAGTCTCGCGATAGCTCTGCCTCACCTCACCGCATTAAAGAATGCAGGATTGGCTGGAACACCGAAGGAGGGGGTGGCGCTCCCCACGAAGCGAGGGCTGAGCATAAATGATTTGTGGCTTTAGTCAGAAGACAGAAAAGACTTCTCCAAAAGCATCTGTTTCACTGCTTCTAAAAAACAGCCACTAATTCGGTACGAGTGAAGCTTATTTCCTTAAGAAAAGTTTCAGAACTTTCAAGGGCAATGTGAATAACTTTAAGTTGAGAGGAAAACTACCTGTATTGTGCTGAAACTGGCCTTCCAATATCTTGGTCCTTTTCCCGCCTCTCACCTCTTTCCCACAGAGGTAAGATTACGCTTAATAACTCTGGAATAACTGTGGGAGGCCTCAGGGCCAGGAACCTGTAAAATAACACCCAGGAAGTATTGGGCACTCAGTGATAAGTTAGTGAGTACCTAACAAGTCAGCATTTCTGCTGTGGAGAAGCATCTCAGGCATGCGTGGTCGCAGAAGCACTAAAGAAAGTTCTTGCCTAAGAGAACTTGCGTTGTAGCTGTGGAAACAGTCCAGAATAGTCCATATTTTACTTAGGGTAGCCCTTTATCACAGACTTCTAAAATAGCCTGAAAGAAGCTGTTTACATAAACTAAGCCTTGTCAAATTATAGGCATACTTTCTTTTACTGCACTTCGCTTTCTTACGCTTTGCAGATACTGTGTCTTTTATAAACTGAAAGTTTGTGGCAACCTTGTGTCCAGCAAATCTGTTGGCATCATTTTTACAACAGCATGCACTCACTTTGTGTTTCTGAGTCACATTTTGGAAATTCTTGTAGTATATCGAACTTTTTCATTATTGTTTTGAGGTGCCACAAATTGTGCCCGTATAAAATGGTGAACTTAATCCATAAATGTTGTATGGGTTCTGACTTCTCCACTGTCTGGCAGTTCCCGGTTTCTCTCCCTCTCCTCAGGCCTCCCTATTCCCTGAGACACAACAGTGTTGAAATTAGGCCAATTAATAACCCATATAATAGCCTCTAAGTGCTCAAGCGAAAGGAAGAGTCATACATCTCTCACTTTAAATCAAAAGCTAAGAATGTTTAAGGTTAGTGAGGAAGGCATATCAAAAGGCAAGACAGGGTGAAAGCTAGGCCTCTTGTGCCAAACAATTAGCCAAGTTGTAAATACAAAGGAAAATTTCTTGAAAGGTTTTAAAAGTGCTATTCCAGTGGACACACAAATGGCAAGAAGGTAAAACAACCTTATTGTGAATATGGAGAAAGTTTGAGTGGTCTGGATAGATAATGAAACCAGCCAGAACATTCCCAAACCAAAACCTAATCCAGAGCAAGCCCCTAGCTTTCTTCCATTCTGTGAAGGCTGAGAGAGCTGAGGAAGCTGCAGAAGAAAAGTTTGAAGCTAGGAGAGGTTGATTCATGAAATTTAATGAAAGAAGCCATCTGTATAACATAAAAGTTCCAGGTGAAGCAGAAAGCAATCCAAAAGATCTAGTTAAAGTAACTGATCAAGGTGGCTAAACCAAACAACACATTTTCAATGTAGATGAAACAGCTTTATATTGGAAGAAGATGCCATCTAGGACTTCCATAGCTGCAGAAGAAAAGTCAATGCCTGGCTTCAAAAGACAGGCTGATTCTCTTGTTAGGGGCTAATACAGCTGTTGACTTTAACATGAAGCTAATGCTTGTTTACCATTCTGAAAATCTGAGGACCCTTAAGAATTATTCTAAATCTACTCTGCTTGTGTTCTATAAATGGAACAATGAAGCCTAGCTAACAGCACTTTTGTTTGTAGCATGGTTTACTGAATATTTTAAGTCCACTGTTGCGATCTTAGAAAAAAAAGATTCAAAATATTACTGCTCATTGACAATGCTCCTGGTCATCCAAGAGCTCTGATTGAAACGTGCAAGGAGATTAATGCTGTTTTCATGCCTGCTAATACAACATTCATTCTGCAGCTCATGGATCAGGAGTAATTTCAACTTTCAAGTGTTATTCTTTAAGAAATATATAAGGCTATGTATAAGTAAGGCTATAGCTGCCATAGATACTGATTTCTCTGATGGATCTGGGCAAAGTTAATTGAAAACCTTCTGGAAAGGATTCACCATTTTAGTTGCTATTATGAACATTCCTGATTCATGGGAGGAGGTCTAAATATCAACATCAACAGGAGTTGAAAGAAGTTGATTCCAGCCCTCATGGGTGACTGAGGGATTCAAGATTTCAGTGGATGAAGTAATCACAGATGTGGTGGAAATAGCAAGAGAACTAGAATTGGAAGTGGAGCCCAAAGATGAAACTGAATTGCTGCGATCTCATGATAGAATTTAAATGGGCAAGGAGCTGCCTCTTATTGATGAGCAAAGAAAGTGGTTTCTTGAAATGAAATCTCTCAGTGAAGATGCTGTGAACATTGTTGAAATGACAACAAATTATTGAAAGTATTACATAAACTCAGTTGATAAAGCAGAAGGAGGGTTTGAGAGAATTGACCCCAATTTTGAAAGAAGTTCTATTGTGGGTAAAATGCTACCAAACAGGATTGCATGCTACAGAGAAATCTTTCATGAAAGAAAGTCAGTTGGAGCTGTTAGCTTCATCGTTCCCTTATTTTAATAAATTGCCACACTCATCCCAACCTTCATCAGCCACCACTGTGATTAGTCAGCAGTCATCAATATTGAGGCAAGACCCTCCACCAGCAAAAAGATTATGACTTACTGGAGGCTCGGATGATGGTTAACATTTTTTAGCAATAAGGTATTTTTAATTAAGGTATGAACTTTTTAAGATAACATTTTAGAAATAATGCTATTGCACACTTAATAGACTACAGTATAGTATAAACATAACTTTTATATTCACTGAGAAACCAAAAAGTTTGTGTGACATGCTTTATTGTAATATTCACTTTTTTTGAGTGGTCTAGAACCAAACTCACAGTATCTCCAAGGTATACCTGTAGTTGGAAATGAGTTCCCTTACCCAAGGCTTCATGAGGTAAGTTGGGAAAAGTCATGCTAATGCTGGAACAGTGGGCAAGTGGAGTCCTTCCTCATTGGAGAACTAATCATTTTACCAAATATAAGCCATAATGGAACCTTTCTTCTGGAAACATAATTTGGAATTCAGTATTTAAATGTATATCATGCTATAAAAAGTTATCTTTGATAGTTTTGTGTCACTTCTTATCATTGGAGTAGAGAATTAGGTTCATAGTTTGACTGAGTCCAGCTGGCACCAGGCAGAAATATTAAAAACAAGCACAGCATCATTTCATCTTTGTTCACCTTGATTGGAATAATTTATAGATATAATATCTATTCGAGGTATCAAACTACAGATCCAGTTGTAAGTTGTGTGGAGGTATAATTTCAACTATAGAGATGGAATTCTATACACTATAATTCAGTGGTTACGGTGAAACACAATTCTACCTTTTGAATTTTCTAATGGTATGTTCTTTCCATCCTTTGGGTTTTGGGATTCCATTTACCAAATTTGGTTCCATTGACCAAGTGACCTGTATATCCTTTGAAAAATTTCTCTATGGAATAATGTTTTTCAATATTAGAATCACCAGAGCTAATTTCAGAAAACATGGTTCACTATTGTATGTTGGCTCTCTGGCTGCTCCCAGCTGTGAGACACCTGTTCACTCCTGAGAACACTGAGTTCATCTACTCATTAGATGTTAGTGATCTAATGACATTCCACAAATGAGAATCAAATGATTGGACATAAGCAGATCTTACCAGTGAACCACTGCATGTTCAGATAGTTCAACTGCTTCTTTTTGAAACTAAATGTGAGGGCAGTCAGACTACATGCTTCCTTGTATCATCTCACTAGCCAAAGCTATAGATTCATTTCCTTTTGGGGACAGTAGCTTTATTTTAGCTATATCCTAAATCAAATCATCTATATTACAAAGGAATATTAAAAGATTTTCTCAAGGAGGAGGACTGGTTGAGAGGGAATAGATGAGTTAATGCAAATTTAACTTCTTTCGGGAACAGGTGCAGGGTAATGTGTTTTTTTCCATTTGATACATAGAACAATAGTATGAGGGTTTTTTTTATTTCTGTATTATAGAAGAGCAATCTGAGACTCAGAGAAATTTGGTAATTGGTCAAAGTTTAGTTCTAAGAGAATAAAAGCACCTAGAACTCCTCTTGATTCCTCTGTTGCCTCTTTTTACTAAATCATGTTGTCTATCAAATAAAAGTAAACAATCTACTCATCAAACTTATCAGATTATCATGGGAAAAATAAAGGCAAGGGATGTGTAATTATTTGATGACACAGAGCTGTGTATATCAACAACATGGATAATTCAGGACCAGCACTCTTTTCTCTTCAATAGAAAGATCATTAACAAAATTACTCTAGAAATTTATTCTATCTTTGCCTGCTCTATTCAAGTGAAGTAGGTGGTCACCCAGTATGATTGAAGATTTCCAAAGATGACTCCTTGTTGCTAATTCCTACTACCAACTTGTTTTGGGACTGATTTCTCTTTTCCTGACAAATTGATAATATTAGGGTCAAAGTCACTTTGACCCTGGAATGAATTACAATGCCCAAAGCCACTGTGAAATGTGT